GAGTGTTTTTCCCTGCTACAACCCTCAATGCCACGGCCACAGGTAAGTACCGGCCCTACGGGCCTGCCAAACAAGCAAGTACCCTTGCGGGTCACACACACACTCATACCGACAAGCACTCAGACAGGCACGCAGGTTACAAGCACGCACACACAGACAGACTTAGAAAACACAGCAGAATGCGGGAATCTCAGCAAGGCATCCATTCCATCAGCAGAACTTCAGAAATCAGCAGTGTTCTCAGTCTGTGTTATGACAGGTCATTACATCAAAGAAAAGATAAAGGAAGAAAGCAAATTACACATCCCACAGATAAACCAATTGCCACTGTCACTACCAGAGTTCAACATAGTTTTTTCTTTTTTTCTATTTTCTTGTTTTCTTTTTTCTTTCCTCCAGAAATTTGTACTTATTTTCTTTCTTTCTTTTATCTGTCCTACAATTAGCGTTGCTCCTGATCGCTTGATTCTATTGACCAGTTAGGAAGAGGAGCCCTCACTCCGGCAGATAGGACAGGCACGCTGAGGATGACGTGGATGTTCACAAGGATACCCGTTGCATACTCGTGAATACTTCAACGAGTATGGGGCAGAACCAAAGATCAACCAATACAGGATGAGCATGTATGCAGCGGAAGTCTGATAATGGACTGACTCACATAGACTGACTCACACAGATATCACTCCACACACAACCAATTGTGAGATGTTGGGGTCTGAGCCAAGCACAGACGATGCTCAGGCCCCGTACAAACATACACAGATGAGAGGTGGGAGGAGAGACGAAGGAGGTGGGAGATGTAGGTAGCACCAGATGTCACCGAGATAGAAAACAGTAGGTCACCGATATGGTAATCCAAAATGTCATCGAACAAGATCAATGTCGCGGACAATAAGTCACCAATGTCGGAGATACAGAGTTGTCCAATCTGTGATGCAGCCGAGTATCAACCCCAACAATCTCCAAGTCTCGAATCCAGTAAGTACACAGCCTCTTACCACCGAAGTCCAACACTGATCTCTGTCCAACTAGTATCAAGTATCCAGTCTGAAGAAGAAGAAGATGAAGTCTGAAGAAGAAGAAGAAGAAGAAGAAGAAGAAGAAGAAGAAGAAGAAGAAGAAGAAGTGATGGCAGAGGAGGAGGAGATGAGGAGGGGAGAGCCGTAGCCGTGGAGGGAGGAGAATATCTCCTCGCCTCCTGGTACCTGACTTCGCTGTAGTCCGACTGCAGGTCGTGGCTATGGCCGCCGTACTGCGGAGGGCTGCTGCCTCGCTCCTGTCTCACCGCTGCTGCTGCGCTAACTCGCGCTGCTGCCGCTGATGCTGCCTCGCTCCTGCGCTAAGAATAGTGCTGCTGCCTCAACCGATACGCACTGGCGCTGAAGCAGCATGCCAGTGCCTCGATGCCTCTCAATGAGGCTGGACCGGTCTTTAGTACCGGTGGCCGAGAGGCCGGCCTCAATGCTGCGAGGCCTGGCTGCGACCTGAACCGTCGAGATCGTCGGTTCAGATCCTACCGGCGGGCGGCAGCCTCAAGAGCGCCGCCAGGCCCAAACGGTAATGTCGTTTGGGCCTGCCCGTCGGATCTGGTCCAAAATACGGCCTTTCGGCCTGCTGTACCCCAAGTCCAGGCCTTTAGGCCCTACTGTGTCCCTCTGGCCCTAAGTCGGGTCCGGTAGGACCCGTGTGGCGTCGAAGATGTAACAATACCCAAGGAGAGCTACTTCGGCACAGCATTCAGCAGGACGGCTAGCACAGACCATCCCATCAAAACAGTCCTGACAAAGGACATGCTGTCCACATGTCAAAAAAACAGCGGGACGTTCATCACAGTGTGGCATCATGCAGTCCTGATAGTGTCCTTGAGCACAAAAGTGACAACGAATATCTGGGTGATAGGGATGTGTACAATGAGGAAATGTTGGACACCCTTCGGCACAGACTGCGGCGGCTGCAATAGATAATGTTGATGGCATAGGTGATGAATTCCGCGGCCAAGACGCACCGCGTCCCTGTCCCGACAGGTGTCACACGAGAGACGATCAATAATCCAGAATAAAGTATGATTCGGTAATGCACACAGAAATTCATTTATGCTGAAAATAGCCTGAATCATTGTCCCACCATCCCACAGTTCCCACTGGGCAGCTGCATGAATGAGTGCCATATAATGCCCGGGTCTGTGCAAAATACCGGCAGAAATATGAGGATGGTCATCGCCTGGCGTTGCATGATGCATAAGAAGGTGGCGACCGTGGAAAGCTAGCTGTAAGACATTTACAGTAAAGCCTCCTGAGGTAGTATAATTACTACCTTCAGGAGGCGGACCATTATGGTCATACAAGAACTGATTTTCAACAGCGTCAAGCTGATAAGCAATCATAACAACATGGGAAGCAGTATAACATTGACGTTGATAAGCCTGTAGGCAGACATATGTGGCTGTCAACCCACAAGCACTTGGTAGATCTGCACGCAGATCCGATTCGGTCACCACTGGAAAGCTAGGTCTGATATGGCGGGGTCGGCGCATGAATGACGAATGCCGTCGACGTGGCGGAGAAGGCTGTCGGTAAGACAAAGAACCCCGCAGATTAGCATCAACACGACGTCAAGAGGGAGGGGCACTAGGAGGAGGAGAGAACGAACGAACCTGCCAACGTCCCAATATAGACAACGAAGACAAAGGAGGGGCCGATCTCAGCCGTCGTGGGGGGCAAATGAAGAAGAAGAAGAAGAAGAAGAAGAAGAAGAAGAAGAAGACAAAGAAACAGATGATGCAGAAGTAGAAGAAGGGGAAGTAGAAGAAGAAGGGGAAGTAGAAGAAGTAGAAGAAGAAGG